CTCTTATATACGATCCCAAAATATCACGAGATTCTACGGAATTAAAAAGAGAAAGAAAGAAAGAAAAGATAATATTTAATTGTTCTTTATAGACGTTTCTGCGTGTGCGATGCAGTTTTTATCAAGCAGCTTTTATCAACTAGAAGGATCAAGGGTGATATCGATTCCATTTGAAATCTGTTGCTTGGTACCAACTGGCATCATGTTCACGTTGCAATTTACGCGATTGTTAACTTTTTTATTCTTTATTCTTTTTTGTCTTATTTTTTGACATTTTAAAATATTTATCACGTTCGTTTTTCTGTTTCGTATTATAATATAAGGACGGTTTATAGTTGAAACTTAAGAACCATGCTTTTGATCATTTTTTTTCAGTGACGATTATTTGAGAACTATCCATTTTTATAAGAAGTTTGTCTTTTTTTTTGTTCGTATATTGTCCAATTACAATGCGACTCGTTTCAATTGACATTGACTTGTTCCATTTATTCTTGGGACGCACTTTTTCTTAACATGGTATATAACATATTTTTCTCGATGAAATTTCTGAGTAGCACATGTTGGGGATACGTTTGTAAAACGTTTCATCTTTTTTACTATATATTGTACGCGCTTCACTAATTTGTACATACGATCATGAGTAACGCAGTATACGCCTAGACATGAAGACAAAATACAATAATTAATGATCTTAATCAAAAGAAAGAAAAAAAGAAATAATGAAATGGATGACACCGTTCGCTTTTTTCTAGTTTAATGCATGTGCATTTAGTGGATATTTTTTAAACTATTCAGAGTCGCATTGCTACACTACACACAACTTAATATTTCATAGCTATGTGTTTTATATATAAATATAAATATATATATAAATATAAATATGAGATCATGAAGGACAGTAAATTATAAGAAATAAAAATGATTATAGAAAATATATGATAATTGTAAAACTATCCAATGATTATACTAATACAATGAAATGATCCTAAGAATGATTCCATCCTCATCCATGAATCCTAATTTTAAGATGTAATATATGCTTATAATTTATGATATCATTTTATATTAGGCACTAACAAATGAATCTTTGTTTTAATTAATTCTAATTTTAAAAATTTGTTGCTTTTTGGAAGATAAAGTTTTTATGAAATATAATAATTATAACATTATTAGTATAAGAATTAAGAAATATAATAAAAATTTTATTACTTATAAAATACATTTTATATAAAAAAATTAAGTATTGTATTTAGTAATCAAAAAATGAAAAAAAATTTTTTGAACCATACATTCTACTTCAATACATCTACTGAGGGAGACCTTGATGGTGTCGCCAGGAAATGATAGCCATTATCTAATGTACTTTTATTATTACATCTGAGAGTCATCATTAAAAGTACTTACTCCCCCAACGGTGGCTTTCAATTTTATTACGAACATTTTTTTCTATTCAGGAATATATTTACAATTATTTTACAACTTATATTTGAATAATATTATTTTGTATTTAATTAATTTTGTAAATATGAATATTTTCTTAATTGTATTTTAATTGTTTGGTAATTTCAATTATTTTGAACATTATTGATATTTATTAATTTACAAATTGGATGCATTGGTAAAAATTCTATCATTATTCAAAAAGGTACATTAGTAATATTTCCAATGATTCTTGTAAGATTTCCAATTAATTCTAATGCAATTTAAATTTGAGTGTGTTCCGAAACGCAATCAATAATTGCCACAAGATACGGCTACGTCTTCAATGTACGATATTTTTATTATTTCAATTTTCATTTATTATACATGAAATGGAATTACACAAATTGCGAAATATTTCTTCTTTTTAAAATATTTATCTTAATTCAATATTATTTATTATTATTTCATAGTAATATTTGAGATAATTTGATTTAAAAATTGATTCATAAATAATGAATCACGCATGCGCATTAATTTTTATTAAATTACATATGCAGTTTCTCATCTTGGTATATTTTGCATAGAACATACACATATAGAATATATATATATAGAATATAGAATATATATATATACATGGTGTTTCACATAGTTTGATTAAACTATTACTTTGAAACGGTAAAAGATAGAAAAAGATCTATTAGAAAAAATTAAAAGATTTTAAGTGATCTGTAACTTCAAAAGTTGAAATGTTTTGAAGAACTTACCTCCGAGAACTATACATTTGTAGACTAATCCATGCATTTT